CATAGTTATGTGGAAAAAAAAAGTTACAATTAATTAAAAGCACAATTAATGCAGTATTAATATTTAGCGAGAATCCAAAGCTCATAATTTACTTTTAACAAAATTTTGTTATATTTGTTCGATATTCTATTTGTAAAACATACGAAATTGGATGAGGAACTTCCTTTTCTGTTAATTAAAGTGTGATAGCACCAGTTCCTTCAGATTCGATTGAGATTTCGCATCAATCAGTGTCAAGTTATACCTAGCCTTTAACCCTACCCGAACGCTTGCTAACTCATTTTTTCCTGTATGAAAAAGGCATGGAAATATTGTTAGAAAAACTTTTTTAAAAAACTCACATTTTATACCTTTACCGCACATTGTTCTCCAAATGCTGAAACCATTAAATAAAGTGAATGTTTCTTTACACCCGCTTTAATAAAAGAAAGGGAAAGGTTGTCAGTAACCACAACTTTTGCTTACGGTCACCATTCAGTACCCAATCCTCATTTCCCCTGCTTCTTTTCGCTTTTCTACATTTACTCGCCACTCACAGGGGAGGGCGATAGGGTCAACTTTTCTGTACTAATCAGTTCAACTTTCCAAGAGAAATAATTCGAAGACGAAGAGAAATATCGCCGATTTACAAAATAATTGCGAAAATATTAAAAGGTATATTATATTTAAGTTATTATGTAAACTCTCTCTCTCTCTCTCTCTGTCATTATTCGNACTTTTCTGTACTAATCAGTTCAACTTTCCAAGAGAAATAATTCGAAGACGAAGAGAAATATCGCCGATTTACAAAATAATTGCGAAAATATTAAAAGGTATATTATATTTAAGTTATTATGTAAACTCTCTCTCTCTCTCTCTCTGTCCTTATTCGAAAAGGAAATTCGACTGTAGGATAAACCAGCAACGAGTTGCGCAACTTTCTACGTTTACATTACTTTTTCTAAAATTTTAAATTAAACTTTGTCTGACTGCGAGGAAAATGTTACGATTTTGATGCAAGAGATGTCAGTCGAACCCGAAAGGATCTATCACGTCTACATATAAAAACTATCAAGCAGTAATTAGTGAGAGTGTCTCCAGGACCCTTTATCATGCCATTAGATTTAGATTTATTTAATTTTATTTATTATTTATTGGCTATCATTTGCAGCAGTTACTTGATTTTACTTGTGATATTAACTGAGTTAAAATTTTTAAATTTTAAATCTGTAGAATTTCGTTATACACAGTCTGCTTGACTGTCTGTATTTAATCTCGAGAACATAAGTTACGTAGATGAAAATCGGAAACTTATAATTAGGAGGCCCGATTAAGCGATTTTCAGTATATTATAAATATAAAAATAAAGGCACAGACTAAAGATACACAGACTGAAAACTCCCTACGCCATATATGTTATTGATTTTAAAGTCACGTGATCAATTTATACCAATCACAACGCACAGCTGTGCAAAACTCGATTACATGGCACCGCCATACAATTCTTATAGCGTCCTGTCTTCCTGACGTCACGAATGTTTGAGTTAAATTTATTTATTTAAATTTATATTATTCCTAATTACAGATATTTGTAATTGAAATATAAAAAATAAAGAAATGACGATTGTGCATATGAATATATTTATTTTAATACTGTATTAAAACAATTAGTAAAAAACAAACAAAAAGATAAAAATAAACACGTAGTATAGAGTACGTATTAAAATATTTTAATGTTGTTAATGCATTTAATTATACATAAGATTTAAATTAAACAATACTGACATTGTCAGATTGTAATCAATAGATTAACAAAATTCTTTTATCATCAGAAAATTTTCACAAATAATTGATTATTTGCCAGAAATTCTTAATTACAGTCTCGACATCTTTCTTCAGAGATTACATACACAATACATTTATTTTCCTTTATACTAAAGTATTTGTGTTCTTAATGTTAAGTACCTTTAATACACGTTATACTTAAAATTAATAATAAAAGTAAGAAGTTTGTATTGTTCCATATCTCCTAGTATATTTATTATATTAATACAAAGAAAATAGAATAATTATTTTAAAATATGTAAATTATTTCGGGGAATCACTGCTCTAAAACCTCCCCACACGTAGAAGTCTGTTCACATATATTATGTTGATAAAGTAATTGTTTGGAATGTCTTTATATACAACAAAATTTTATATGCAATGTCAGTTCAGTTTTTTTTTTAAATCTGCTTTCACAATTTCTGCAAAAATACGCTTAATTCTGACGAACAAGTTTATGGAACGACTTTTAAAATATTAATAAAATTTCTTGTTACACACTTCACAAACTTAACGAAGATTGTCTTCGTTGCGAGTGGCTTCGTAAAATATTTTAATACGTGTTTTTTGGTAAAACGTCAAATAAATTTTTCACAACGAAACGGTTTTTCGACTTAATGAATTTTCTGGTGATTGATTAAGTTGCGTTTACTTTTAAATTCTTGATTACAAACATTTCACTATTCAATGTGAATTTTCGAATGTTCTTTTAGCAGGGATTCTCTCTTGCATAGCTTCTTACAAATATGGCATATATACATATTCTCATGTTTAGTGAGACAATGTCTGGTTAAGGCAGTTGTATTGGTGTAATCTTTTTTACATATGTCGCAAACATACTTTTTTGTATCGCTATGAATAATGTTATGCTGTTCCAATAAATGTTTTGTCTTAAAATATCTGTTACACATATGACAAGAATATTTGCATTCATTGCTGTACATGAAAATATGTTGTTTTAAACTAGAACTGCGTTTAAAACTTTTATTACATACGTGACAAGTATAATCAAGTTGATTGTTATGAACAATTTTATAAATATCCAAATACTGCTTTGTTTTAAAACGTTTGTTACATATGTGACAAGAATATTTGTATTCATCGCTGTGTATATTAATATGCCGTTTTCAATCTTCACTTCGTTTAAAATTTTTATTACATATTTTAGAAGTATGGTTAAATTGATTATTATGAACTATTTTATGAGCTATCAAAGTACCTTTGGTTTTAAATCGTTTGTTACATACCTGACAAACATAGTTACGTTCATCAGTATGAGTTACGTGATGGCTTTTTAAATGCTCTTTTCGTTTATAACTCTTATTGCAAATATCGCATTTGAAAGGACGGTCTTCACTATGTGTTGCTTCATGCTTCAACAACACAGCTTTCCACTTAAATTCTTTACCACATATTTTGCAGGCATGAGTTTTGTGTGTTCTCTTGTGTATTTCTAATCGGCCATTACCATATAGAACGCGCTTACCACAAATGTCGCAACACTCATTTTCCCCCTTGATATTAGATTTTTTACAATGAATAAGTTTATGCTTTGGCAAATACTGTTTTGTTTTAAAATGTTTGTTACATATGTCACAAGAATATTTGTATTCGTCGCTGTGTATATAAATATGTACTTTTAAATCACCACTTCGTTTAAAACTTTTGTTACATATATGACAAGTATAGTTAAATTTATCATTATGAACTATTTTATGAGCTATCAAAGTACCTTTAGTTTTAAAACGTTTGTCACATACCTGACAAACATAGTTACGTTCATCACTATGAGTTACGTGATGCCTTTTTAAATGCTCTTTCCATTTAAAACTCTTATTGCAAATAACACATTTGAAAGGACGGTCTTCACTATGCGATGCTTGATGCTGCAACAACACAGCTTTCCACTTAAATTCTTTACCACATATTTTGCAGGCATGAGTTCTGTGTGTTCTCTTGTGTATTTCTAATTGGCCCTTACCATATCGAACGCGCTTATTACAAATATCATTTTTCTGCTTAATATTAGCTTTTCTACCCTTTGTTGAAGATGGCTTCACTCGATCTTCAGATGGCCGCATATGTAAATTCCGATAAGAGATTTTGTTTTGATTTATAGTTTTATGTTTTTTCATGTGTCTTTGCAAAAGAAATCGCCACGAAAACTTCTTATGGCAGGTTGTGCAGCGAAATGGTTTTTTTCCAATATGACAGAAGAGATGTGTTTCTAATATTCTCTTATTTGTAAAAGTCTGTTTACATAAATCACACGTAAATTCTTGTTTAGAATGAGATGCAATCATAACCTTGAAGTATTTCCTTTTAATTTTCTGATGAATTTTATTGCAATTTTCACTGTAAAGAACGTATTTCTTTCTTTTAATATTATATTTAAAATGTTTTTCTTCTTGTGAATTTTGCTGAATATCGTATTCCTGAATTTGCTTTTCCTCCTCAACTGAAAGTTTAAAAAAATATCATATTAAAGTATCTATTATATTTTTATATACATAATATAGCTTTAATATTAAAATATTAGCGCTGTAGTGATATAATTGGTAAACAATACCTATGTTTTCTTTTAAAAGGAACACATCATTTCTTGTTGGCACTAAAAATAAAACATTCTGCAATCATAAACTGATTAAATCAGCTTTAGCTTTTAAATGAGTGTAAGAAATTAAATTGTTTCACTTTATCTGTTATATTTATTTTATTTATGTAGTTTGTTTCAGTGGTTATCATAGAAAGGTTAAAGAAATTGTGTGCTTTTAGAGAGGAAAATAAATCATTAGTGTATCGGGTCGTCAAAGATGAAATTTGTGGGGAAAAAAGGCAAAGTTGGTTGATAACTTACAAATATAAAAATTTATTTCATTCGTCAAATTATGCACCCATATTGTCTATACACTTTTGCCACTTAAGCGGCAGGTTGTTCAGGCCGATGGTATAAAACGCTAAAGAACGACTGTTAATGAATTTCTGAAAGGCCAGTTTTACAGCATTGTCGAAATTAAATTGTTTTTCTGTTAAAAAGTTGTCTAAATTTTAGAAGACGTGGTAGTCCGTGGGGGCTAGGTCTGGTGAGTATGGAGGATGATGAAGATGTTCCAACTCCAATTCCTGTAGTTTTGCCACAGTAATTTGTGCAGCGTGTAGTCTAGGCACTCCAGCGTTATCATGCAATAAGATAGGATCGATCTGTTGACCAATCTAGACTATTTTTCTTTAAGTTTTTGCATCATTTCGTCCATTTGGTTGCAGTATATTTCTGCTGTGATCGATTGGCCAGATTTCATAAAATCATAATGGATCACAAGTGCCTACACCACCAAGCACTCACCATGAACTTCTTTTGATGAATATTTCGCTTTAGAGTGTGTTTTAATGATTCATCCTTGTCCAACCACTGTGCTGAACGTTCGTGATTGCCATATTAGATTCATTTCTCATCACAAATGAATCACATTTATGAAGAGAAAGCAACATGAAGCAAGCTTCCAAACGCTTTTGTTTCAAACGCAAGCTTCCAAACGCTTCCAAACATTCAGTTCGTGTGGAAGCCACTTATCCAACTTTTTCACTTCACCTATTTGAGCTAAATAAGTTAATATTGTTTGTTCGCAAACACCAAACTTCAACGATAATTCATAGGCACTCTGAGATAAGCAACATTATTACCTACAAATTTCATCCTTGACGACCTAATAAATGAAAAAGCACCACAGCAAAAGTCTACGGATTTTAAGTAGAGTGGCAAAATCGGCTGATACTTCAGATTTTTTGAATAAAAATACGATAATTTAAGCGTTTGACTATAATATCTGCACAACGATTTTGAAGAATATTAGCAATGTGTTAGAAAACACGTTGAAAATATTTACTTATGTCATAAAATAGGTTATATAGCCTTCGTTTACTTCGATTCAATACATTTTCTTTATTATTTTAGCCGATCCATGAACAAAGCAGATAACATGAATCATTAAATCACAACTCATAAATTTTTATCTAATAATTGTGATCATCCCAAAAGATTTTTATTAACTCCAAAATTTATATTAATAGTTCTCAAATATCTAATCCCAGTTAAATGTATGACAGTTGAAACTTAAATGCAGTTTTTCAGCTGACCTGTAAATAATACTGATATGAAAAGTTTGAATTAAGTAGCATATTACTTACTTTGGATGTTTATTTCATTCCTGTTAAAGTTTTTTTCTGCAGTGAAGAATTTATTGTTGACAGGCTAAACAATACGCAAAACAATACATGATAACTACGAATAATCACTTATGATATATAAAGCAGTAACGAGTTGCTTAACTTTCTCGGCAACGTTTTAAAATTTTGATGGCGCTGTCTGTAATGAAACTGTCTATATTATAGAAAGGCAAAAAACTGAAGTTTGAAACAAGAGATGCGCTTTATATAAAAAAAAACTTAAATGCGAATAACGAGTAAAATCATCATTAAGTTTGTCCCACACGACCTCCATTATCTCCCACCCTCTTGATTTTAAAGCAGTAAAATTTAATAACCTCAATTTCCCACGATTTATTTCTTTTGCATTTTTCGACGTTTGAAGGTGTTTTAAGTTGATCAAAGTTTAGAAACGTAAATAGCATGGGGAGTCATTATCTGACCGATTGTCATACTTTCTTTCTGTTATATATAACAGTCGGAAAAGTAATAAAAAAGTTTTTACACACTTATAAATTAAAAATCCCTATTTTGTGATTTTATATACTCTAAACGAGACTCTTCATTTTTCATTTACTCATTAAAAGACATATTACTATTGAAGTACGCTGATTTTGCTACAGATTTGTTATTTATAAAGTATTTTAGCGTAGTGAAAGCCCAGAGGAAAGTTGTGGCTTATATAAATCCGAAAGCAGCTTGAGAAATTATTTTAAAAAATTTACAAACGTGTTATGCTGTTGATGGCAGAAAATGCCGTAAAAAACAAATTTACTTCTACAGTATTNAAAGCCCAGAGGAAAGTTGTGGCTTATATAAATCCGAAAGCAGCTTGAGAAATTATTTTAAAAAATTTACAAACGTGTTATGCTGTTGATGGCAGAAAATGCCGTAAAAAACAAATTTACTTCTACAGTATTACGATAAGCTGTTATAAACACAAATATATAAAAATTCAATAGATACTACACATAACTTGAAAAAATTGTGTAATTAAATAATTTCTGGATTAAAATCGTCTGTTTCTTTACAGTGTTATTCGCAAATGCTTGAAAAATCATTATTTTTAATAAAATATGTCATAAATTTAACACAAAACACAGAGAAAGCGAACGTTTAAGTCTAACTTCTACTCGCCACTTTCTAAACGCCATTGTCAAACTTCTAGGATTACAAGATAGCAGCGCTTGACGTTCATGTTTTAGCAGTGAAAACTTCCGCAGCAACGTCTCTATTATTTTCTTGTAATCAACTGCTACTTTACAACTAATTAAAATTAGAGATTGCAGTGTTTATTAATTTGTTGTAATCTGTGTTTATCTAATTAATGTCTTCTCAGTATTAGAAATAATAAACAAATCTGATATTTTGTATTATCGTCGTCTTAATGGATCACAATATAAATTTTGCCAAGCATTTCGTAAATCTGAGGTCCGCCTGTATGTCGGGTAACCCTCAACATGTGGTCGTATTCATTGTGGACCTGACCAACCCATCGATGGGTCGGAAATAAAACCTCATTGTTTATTGTCTAAGTAATCGTGCACAAAAAACAAATACTCAAGCTACCAGCTGAGAAAAGTTTGAAACACTATAATTTACATATATAAATTTAATGTTGAAATTCGCTTTTTACTTTTAGGGATGTTATAAATGCATAACAAAGTAAAGTATTGAATTCTGGTAAATGTTTTGCAAATTTTCAGATCTTTTACATCCAAAAAACATAGAGAAAAATTACGTAATTAAGTATGTGTGGGCGTGTATTTATGCGTCTATTTTATTTAATATTTCAGAATAAATTGAAGATTAAGAAACGAAATTTAGTACCGTACGTAGTGTATAAGGTGGTATTAAATTTTCCTAATAAAACATTCAGGGATAAAAAGATATAAACTGATAAAGTGTAAAATCTCGAGTGGGATCGGACTTAATGAAAATTTTATATGTGGGTACATTTATAATTCTTTGTCAAATGCATTTCCACAATTAAAATTAAGCATTTCTTCACTTTATAATAATTAAAATTATAGAGAGTTTTTATAACATATGGCGCCACAGATAATTTTATTTATTTATTAACATTAATAATATATATGTCGTTTTTTAAATAAAATCTCTTAACAGCCAGGAAACTTACGCAACTCGTTGTTAGATTTTTTTCTTATATAATACATGTTTTTTATTTAATACAGAATACACCTAAATTAAAAGCATAATATTATATTAGCGATATTGAGCTACGTTTTCAACCATTCAGAACGTTAAGTTGATATTAAAATCTCACGGTAATTTGTATTACTTATTACCTGTTCATTATCATCTGGAAGACGGACAACTTCTTTATAATCTTCAGTCTTTACTTCGATCTTCAATTTTTTCAAAACAACTTTACATTCTGATTTTATACCACGTTTTACATCATAATTTTCTTCTATTTCGTCTTTTTTAATATCTGTAGTAGAATTTACAAACATTTTGTGTTAAAGGATACTAAGAAAATTTTGAAATATAAAATAAAACTGAGCATATTCTCATTAATTAACATAAGAAGATTAAATTACGTGTTTCACTACGTCAATTATTTCCGATCACAAGCCGAAACTACCTGAGTCACGGAGAAATGGTGTGATGTGCGATAGAAATTATAATAAATATGATTAGGAACTTGTTTTCGTTATTAAATAAACCAGCAACGAATGCTTAACTTTTCCAGAAACTCTTAAAACTACGTGTGGTGCCATCTGTTATGATGTTTTCTTAAAAATATTTTTAGTAAAAACTTAATTTTCAAGGTATAAATGAGTTTTATAAAAAATTGTAAATGAGAAAATGAGTAAACTCGTCATTAAGTCCAACTCAACTAAAGATACACACGACCCGCATAATCTTTTTAGCCCATCGATCTTCGATCACAAAAACTTAAAAGCGTAAATTCCCTTAATAATTATACTTTCCTTCTAAATTTCAGAAATTTTCGACGAAAAGCTTTGTAATTATTAAAGTATAAAACAAGGTTAAAGAAAATCATCGCGCCATTCCAAACACCCTGACATTTATGCATACAAAAATTTCTCGAATTTTTTTAATTTTTCGACGTTTTAAGCTATCTTAAGTTAAAAAATGAAAATGTCGGGAGATTATTTTATGACCGATTTCCCTTCTGTTACACATAACAGTCGATAAAGTAACACTTAGTTAAATTGTCGAATAATCACGGATTTAAAATTTTTCAAATTAAAGTACAATCATTACATTTCATAATTTATTCTCGTAAATGTTATAATATATCACAAAGAAGTTATGTTAATCAATCAAAGTTCGATGTTTTCCCCATTTCTCGACGTTCTGACCCTCCACTAGAACAAAGATATAAAATACTTTATAAAATTCTATTTGTCAACGTTGTTAACTTTATGTTTGAAAAATCAGACGTATGTACAATGTACTGTACAGGACGTTACGTATCTACGTCACTCCTTCACACTTCATTTCATATATAAAACATGAATGTATATGCAATAAAAACTTCTTTCAACGCAACTAATGTATAAGTATAAAGTAAGTGTACAAGGATTTATTTTCATGTGCATTTCGGGTCAAGAAATATCCTGTCCTCATGGAATGTCAACGTTTCTTAGAAGCACATATTGCTTAGTATATACGTCAACAGATATCATTTACTGCGTGATTAATATAGTCCCTATCCAATTAGAAGTGGTTCCAAAATGCTATGCTTAATCTTAAATAAATATTATATACACAGGTGCTTAATAACTAAAGTAAAAAATAAGTTAGATGCAGCTAATGAGTGATATGTTTATGCATCGAGTTTGCTAATGACGAATAATTTACTTTCATTGTGGTACCGACTCTGATAAGTAACAAAAAATTTGCATTTTAATAAACCATAAAATTCATCTGGATACGAGTCCAAGTTTATTTGCCATGTCTAATCACCAGGAACAACTATTTCCATTGCAGAGACAACCTTTCTTTAGAGGCTATGCCTCTGCACAAATATGTAAAACAGTTTAAAATGTCCACAGGTGACAATCCCAACACAATTAAAAATATAATATTTGTTCGTAGAAATGGGCTGGCAGAATTACAATTTAATAAACCATAAAATTCATCTGGATACGAGTACATACAAAAAATTTGCATGTTATGGTATTGTAATGCATGGTATTGAATTTCATTTAAAAAGAAACAAAATTCGGCAACTTGTTACGGAACTTTATCAGCAAAAATGTTACAATTGGTCATGGTGATGAGATTTTATTAGTGTTGTAACGAATAGTATATTCGGCCTCAGGCCGAATACAGAATATTCGGCCAGGAGCGTGGCCAAATAGCCGAATATTCGGCCAAACTATTCGGCTTGATTAACGCACGTACAAAAATTGGCGCGCAAACCGCATTATGGCAAGGTTCCTGCTCTCTATTGGCCCGCCGTCACTACGCTTCGCCAATCGCGTTAATTCTTGGCAGTTGTAGTGGACAGACAAGAGTATCATGGAAGTATGTGATAAATGATGATATCAAATGCGGATAACAATGAAATGACCTACACGTGTAAATAACGAAAAAAGAACAGAGAAGGACCGCGAAGTGAAAATGTGAAAATAAATATGAAATTGAGTTGATAACATAATGGAACAAATCGAGGCAGCTTGTTGACACGAAATGCGCTGCCGTCAATGCCAAACAATTGTTGTCATAGACTTCGGAAAGCTAAATGCTTGTAATGAAAGTCACTTAGCGTGCACGGGCGAAAGCCCGGGACCGTTCGGGCTATCAAGCTGTCTCGAATCTGTGAAATCATAACTGTGACTTATATCGACGTCCTGTCTGTCTCTTTTCTCCGTGATCACCAGGTTGAGTCACGTAATTGTAAAATGGGAACTCTACGACGGAAAAGTGTCGAATCGAAAGTATCGTGAGCGCGTATTATGATTAAGGTTTCTATCCCGTTTTCCCAGGATTCTCGACGTTTATTCCCTACGAGAAAAATCTCGAAAAATTTTATTTTCCCGGGAAATCTCACATTTCAATAATAATTTACCATGTCAGGTTTTCTTTCTATTATTTTCTATACGAAAAATTGCATCTTGAAGACGCACCTAAAGCCCTGGTCACACTATGCGATTACCAGCGGCGCAGGCGACTGCAACCGCGACGGCTGTTCCCGTTAACTAGTAATCCCCCCTCGAAAACCGGCGCGACTGCAATCGCAACTAGAAACAAAAAGTTTGTTCTACTCGCGACGATTGCAAACGCGCATCCAATCAACAAACGCCTTTATGCCACGTCATACAGTGACAACATTGAAAATAGTTCATCATCATGGCGGATAGTCAGAGGATTAATACTTTTACAGAATCGAGATTGATCGAGCTTATTCAGGCTCACGAATACCTGTGGGATTTTAATTCTTCGTTTTATCGAAGATTTTATCTTTTCATGTATTTTCGCCAGCTCTATTAAAATAATCGCCTTTTTTCTTTTATTCATTCCAGAAAAG